TTAATTTAAAAAACTCTAATATCCCACACTTTGGGAACCTCTGCCCTAGGTGAATCCAGGTCTGTAAACCCCTTGAAACAGTCCTTCTTGAGAAGATAATAGTTACTTAGTCAAGAAAGTCCCAGTCTTTTACGGAATCCGAAGGTACATTACTATCATCACAAGAACCTGTCTCTTTAACCAGTGCGAGCTCGATGAATGCACCCAATAGCCTCGGATTCCATTTTATTAATATACATCTTAATATTAAACTCCCATCCTTGCTTAGTTCTCCTTAGTGGTCTCTCTTCGCTTCAGCTTTTCCAACCCAATGCTCTATGCAAATTTTAATATTTCCCAAGCGTGCTATATGTCCCGCCCATCTCATCCTCCTTGATCTGATGTGCCATAATGTAAATTTGTATCTTAATCAAGAAACTGTGAGTGGCGTGTAAGAAAACCATAACTCTGTTTAAGAGGGATGAAATAATAAACAGGAAACCAAAACCTCTGGCGTCTACTGCAGCTCCATAAAAGAGAAATCTGTCCAATTTACGTGTCCCGGAATGTACAAACACACAGAAGGGCTGCGAGGCAGTGAGAGGGTTAGAGAGGGACGGGCGTGCACGGTGTTATCATTGGAAACATGCCTCCACTCTGATTTTTTAATCCCCTTTCGTGGATTTTAAAATGACTGCAGAACGCCATTAATGCCTTTGGCAAACAGTGATGTTCCTGCCCCTACTGAAGAGAGGTGTGTGTGTGTGTGGGGGGGGGGATGAGTTTTCAACTGAAAATCCATCGCTCTGTGAGCTTAAATAAACGAAGCATGTATTCAAATGGAAATGTTTGTATGGTGTATATGCCAGACGTATAGCGCGACAGTTTTTATTAACTCTCCGATTCTGCACTTACATCAGCACAATTTTTTAATACAAAACAGAAAGGTAGATAACAGCGTATACAGGCGTATAAAATTTAAATTCCGTCTCTGACGTTATCTGTAGCGCCGGCGTCACGGATCAACTGCTGTTCTGTATTCGTGCCAGCGCTCTTATGCGCCACACAACAGATTCCAGAGATCTTTCCTGGCCTACAGACCAAATATGACGGCTGATTAGGCCTATGTTAGATCGCTGCTGATGTTAACTACAATTCAAGGATTATGGGTTTAAATCCTGCTCAGGCGCCGGTGTCTCACCGCCGAGGTCCGAGTTCGCGACCGGTAATTCCACGTGTGGCACCAGAACACGTTTTTTTTCCCGAGACCTTCCGTTTTCCAGTGTCAGTATTAGACCAATGTATCTGGGGAATGGACACAGTGCCCGTTGGCGGACCTGTTCCACAGAGGAAAAATAGCACCGAATAGCAACAATAATAAATAAACCATATTCAAGGACGTTCAAGTTTTAGTTTTCAATGTAATTCAAACCATCTTCCAGCATCGAACAGAAACAAATTCATAAATACAAATAAAATAAACAAAAGCAAAGAGGAACGTGAGAGAATATTTTTGTGGAGTATCATTTTCACTACAGATACCACAGTGCACACAATTCATTATTTTATTAGCATTTCGTTAAACATTAGTCGCACTAATGTGTCAAATAACAGTACACTTTAGTATGGTTTAGCACAGTGGTGTTCAAACTTTTCTTGTTCCGTACCCCCAGATATAATTTCTCTTCAACTTTGTACCCCCAAAGTTGTTGGTGTTTAATTCAAGTTATACATAGTATATAATCTACATCTAAAATAAATTAAATAAATTACATTACTGATTATTCAGTGTTTCATGTACCCCCTAAGTATTCGCGTACCCTAGGTTGAATACCACTGGTCTAGCAGGCACCTCAGAAGGGATATTTTTGAAAAAAAGAAAGATTGGCAATGGTAGATATGACATCCACATAAAGTAGGAGTCACACAGGACCGTTATGAACGAGAAATAGAACGCATCTGACGAATTTTAGTGTGGACTCAATACGAAGGTTTATCCGCACCCATTCAGTAGTACTGGAAGACTGGCGGATGGGGAGGACCTCCCCCTATTTGCATTCAGTTTGAGCACTATGAGTAATGTAGATATAATAGGTTAATACTTATCGATATGATGGGTTGTGGATCTTCGAATAACATGGTTTTAAGTGTCGTGATGTTCCTCTTATCAGCTTACGCTATTTACCTACTGGTCTGCTCGTTCTGCTAGGTGTGAACCAGGGACACAATTTTACAGGGAGAAGAGTTGTTATCTGAAAGGGGCGGGAAGAGGCGGGGCGTATACTTCTGAAATCAATCCGTCTCCTCTGTCCTCGCGGTCGACCTCAATTCAAGAGGATTCCAATATTTTTAACCTGTCCGATACGTTTTTATATTACCGTCACCCCAAACAAACTTGAAGCACCGTGGAAACCCGACATCTTTGAGCGTGTCACAATGAAATACAATGTATGTAATGTTGCCATCCCTGAGTTCAGAAAGTGAGAAACCCAAGCAAAGTAATTCAGTTACAACAGGAACAAAAGTTGTAAAACCTTTTCGCTAAAGGCAACATTGGAAGTTCATTTGGAATAAATGATGCTAACTCTGTACACAATTTGCGGTATGAAGTTCAAGTTGTGTCTGATGCTTAACTAATCACCCCATGCAGACGCATGTGGGAGCGAGAGTGTGTGTATCTCCACGTACTTTCTTCCGCGCTGGATGGAGGTGAACGTTCAACCTCTTATCCGATTTACGCAACAATCTGATAGGAAAGCCTCCTAGCCGCTGAACCGGTGTTGACATTGCGAGTAAAATCCTAACCTGCCCGAAAGCAAACCCCAATCGTCTTACCCGTAACATCCATTGAAATTAAGAACACTTAAAGATGGCTGTCTTCTGTGTTGTACCGCCATGTAATTTGCTTGTGTTTAACAACGTTTCAGAGGTCCTTGCTGCCTCCATTATCATCACCCTAAAAAACAGACATTTTCATACTTGCCGCCGTGAAAACATTAAATCCTACTTGAATACACCTGCTCCAAATTTGAGTTTACCAATTCATTTTGTTTTTAAACACCCTGTATCTGACTCCTGATTAATTTTTGAAACTGCTTCATTCCTTCTTAAGTTGCCAGATCGTATTTACTTCGATCTAGATATTTTCTTTCCTTCCCCCCTCCCCTTACTCTCGGTGCAAAGGTTTTCATCCTCTTAAAACTTCCTTTTTGCCCTTTCTCGTCTCTCTTCGTTTTCCTGCAGCGAAACTGCTCCCTCCACCATGTTCGCTTGCAGCTGCGATGTTCTTTCCCAGGCCCTCTGATCGCTCCAGCGACTTACAAGTGCCCCTGCCACCCCGAACTCACAGCCTCTTCCTCCTTTTAGTTGTCTCCTGATTCAGCAAGCGTGTCTTTATACCTTCGTCGTCATAGCTTGTATTCTCATCTTCCTTCAACCCGCCCTCCCAAGCCTATCTCGTCCACCCACTTAACAGACGCAAGGGCAAGACAGTAAAAAAAAAAACTTCTAAGTAGTACTAGTAGAAGCGAAATGGGAGGAAAATTTAATTTCGAACTCGTTGATTCAGCAGTGCAGTTCCAAAAGTTTAATCTTTGATCAGGGCTTAAGTCCTTCCCTATAATGGTGAGGACGGTAAAAAAAGAGAGATAGTTGGCAGTTTTATGCATGGGGTAAGTTTCAAGGGAAAAATACGAAGTAGAGGGATCAGAAAGAAATAATCTGATTGGCTGATGTTGAGGAACCAGAATGGCAAAGGATTGGTTTCTCCGTGTTAACACAGGACGTGTCATGTCGGCATAACAAACCCGTTTCAAGGCATTTGCATATTGTCGTATGTCAACTGCTGCTGGAATCTGTACGCAAACATCAATACATGCATACACACGAATTCCGCTATGAAGTATTCGTAACACTTCAAATTTCCATTGACGCGCCTGCCAGTTTAACGAGAGCCAAATTCTGATTATCGTAACACTTCAAATTTCCATTGACGCTCCTGCCAGTTTAACGACAACCAAATTCTGATTACCCCCCACTGCAGGCTTGCTCACATTCGACCATTTGCACCTACACGAAATAAAGTAGTGTCAATACAACAGTAAAATCACTCAAAGTTGCTCTTAGAACATCTGCTTTGTATTAGGAAATCCACAAATCAATTCTCCGTCCGAAGATCAGAAATTCCTGATCGAGGATTTTCGTGTGTTTACTCCCGGCCTTCGACCTGAGCATTGGATGGCCTGCCCAAGGATACAGAGCACAGACATTAGAAAATTCCTGGGCTCAGATATTGAGTCAAGATGATAATCCACATACTAAAGCATACATGCTTATAAAGCTTTGTATCATGTGACAGTAGCCTACTCACGTAAGCAACATTTACACTCGCAATTTTGTATATCAATAATTTGGTAAATCATTGACTGACGTTCCTGTACACACGCACACTGGGCATGCGCACGAATTCATTCAGACCGACTTTAATTACAGACCACTCTCGTTACACGTGTACTATCCGTCACAGTTTATTACAGTAACCCTTTGTGTTTGGTGTTTATTTAAAAGTATTTCTTCCGTTGTAACGTACAATTTATAGTTGAAAGGCTGGAACTAGTTTACACTCATCTACTCAAATTCCTTGTAGATGAAGCCAAAAAGGGCCAGTGCACCCAAATGTGTTACGACGTACACTATACGAAATTTTGCAAATTTGAAAGATCATTCTATGTTAAAGGAAGAAAGACAGCAGATGTTATGCTTCCCGGAATTTCTGGTACACAGTCTGATTTCACTCATACCATGCAACCAGTAGTTGCGTCTCTATAATGGCGAAGTCCCATTAAGAACTTGCCCGACCGAAATGACAATATGACGGACCACACAGCCACTTGTCAGCAGCTTCTGATCTGAAATTACTCGCCAAAAGGTCCTGTCAGAAACTCCGGTCCTGGTGGAATCTGTGCTCCCATCTTCAGGTGAACAGTTGTGTCTGAACGCGTATTTTCCTTTCTTGGTTTCAGGTACGGCATGGATCTGAACGGAGCGAGAAGGAAGAATGCAACGCGAGAGACTACGAGTACACTGAAGGCGTGGCTGAACGAACACAAGAAGAACCCTTACCCGACCAAGGGCGAGAAGATAATGCTGGCCATCATCACCAAGATGACGCTCACACAGGTGTCCACGTGGTTCGCCAACGCTCGGCGTCGGCTCAAGAAGGAGAACAAGATGACGTGGGAGCCCAGGAATCGCGTCGAGGACGAGGATAACAACAACGAAGACGATGGCAGCGCCAGCGGGCGAAAGAGTGCCGACAATGTCAAGGACCCTGGTGAGTGCCCCAAGAACTTCTGCAGGGAACTGGGAAACGGTGGAGAATACTTGAAGGGATCTAACGACATAATGTTATTGCTTTATGCTTCGGACCGTTAACGTTTTGTCTAATGCTGACTAAATGTTTCATTCCCCCCCCTCCCCGAAAACACACGCCTGTTACGACATAGAAATGTTTTAAATCCTTCCTCTTTTCGAAATGCACGTGAAAACTTCTGCAATAATAATCTGAATGTCTCTCCCAAAACATTTCATTACCTTCTGCAATAATAATCTGAATGTATCTCCCAAAACATTTCATTACATAAACTTACAATAATCTCGTCACTTATTTAATATATTAGGACTAAGATAAATAACATACTCAGCAGATACTCAAAAGTTAACTTACAAACTTGAACAGTTAGTTATCTTCCTGTGTTTAATTTTGCTTCAAGTCATGAAGACGTATGGGGAAGTGGAGGTTTAGGTCTACGCATACTCGACGTTAACAGACCGCGCATGCTCTAATCCGAAACACGTAGCCATGTGCACTGCCACGTGTGTCTACGAGAGGAATAAATCCTTGAATCCAATGGGGAACTTCTAATGGGGCAATTGCTACACCTGAACAAATTAGTTTAAATGCTACAATGCTAGGCTTATTTTTGGAGTCTCAAGTATTCACGACGGATGAAAACTGGCCCTCGAATATCAGTGATGATCCACACCACAGCATTTTGTAAATGTATGAGCCTGCTACTGTCCACCGGCCACGAGAAAATCCCTGCGGGGTGAAGTCGGATCTGATGCGGTGGAGGGCGGTTGTTTACTATCAGGTGGACTAGAGGGCTTCTGTTCGTGGGAAGTATGACACGCCACAGAGTTACACTACTACACACACACTGAAAACATTAAGCAGTTGTGATGATATTCTAGGTTCAATCACTGTGCCACTGTGAGGTAATCTTAAAATTATACCCATTAGAAAACATAAAAGCCTATTGTTTGTTCCGTGGTTGTGGAACGAATTCTTTTAGGACGGGTCGTCACTCACTGCGAAATCTTGCGCATGCGCGTATATCGAATTACTACAAGGAATTTTCCACTGGTCTGTGGACTGTAGTTACCCTAACATAATTTGAAAACAGTGGAATCTTCTTTAATTACTTACGTTATTATCGATATAACAGGTGTTACGTAATGTTACTTTACAACCACATGCTTGTCATTTTCTTTAGATTACCATCAACAGTGAAACTAGATTTTCAGCAAGAACACGTATCCAATACAAAATGTACTCACTGTCCATCCCTTGATGCGCTCTGATGCTGAATTCACAAAACACTTGTCTGTAAATACACTTGGATATGTCACACAGAATCCAACAAGGTCAAACCAACGCAACTAAACATAACCTAAACGCAACCACATCTGTCTCCACACGCTTGCCTGTAACTCACCCAATTCGCTTATTCGTAACTAACATCAGTAAGCGACAGTGCTGCTTTGGCGTGTCTTCATAATTCTCATCTTTGCAGTGTTGCCAGATGGGAATGCAGAATGTAAAAATGTCTCTAGATTCACATTATTTATTGAAAGACCAAGAATTTTAATGTCAGCCTTAATTATGAAATTTTGCATACATTATTCGGAGAATTCTGGGCAATTTTCGTGAATTTTGGCTATGCATTTCGGTCTTCAAATGTTTTATTTATACTTCATCTTGAGGCTATGTTTGCACAAGTATATTAAGAAAGGGAACTTTAGACGAGGATTGTTATTTACGTATAATTTACGTCCGATAAGTAATGGACGATATGTTTTGCTTTGCTTTTGGACGTTTGATGGTTTAAAAATCACGTTCATCAGGCCCATAACTTCCAGAAAATCTGAAAGTTTGTTCCCAGGACATGAAAATGAAAATTGCATAGCACGCTCTGCAACCCATGTTTAAGGCTTAGTGTAGTCAAGCCACACTAAAAACTTGTCAAGGAAATTAGATTTTTTTAAGATCCGTGGAGGTAAAATTCCTGTGTAACCTCTTAACTTCCGCTGACTCTCTTGCCAGTGTTGTCATAAGACACTCATGAATGTAGACATTCATTTACAGGAAATTGCCCCATTTCTTACATGCTTTGTCTAAATGAAATGATTATACATGGATAAAGTCATAGTAACATTATAATTATTGTCATTAAATCATGAACAATAAAATGTGGAGAGATACACATGAAAGCTGTGATAGGAGAAGGCAATGCATGTCCAACGTCACAACTGATTGAATTTCCTCTGACGATCACATTTAACTTCATGCAGTCGTGTGGGGGGCGTTTTTTTGCAGACTCGAAGGACTCCGGCACGGGCTCCAGCGAGGACGGAGACAGACCGGCAAACCACCGGCTGGAGCTCCTGGATCGGGGTCACTGTGGGGGCGGCGGCCCTGGGGCGGGCGGTGGAGGCCTAGATACGGGCAGCGAATGGTCTGAGTCTCGGCCTGATTCGCCCGAGTGTCTGTTTGAGCGACCATCACACCTCCTGCACCCCGCATACCACCCCCGGCTTCTGGGCACCAACCCCTCGTCGGCCACCTCACCGCCACCCCCAGGCGGTGCCAGCGGTTCAAACCCCAGTAAGCCCAGGATATGGTCACTCGCAGACATGGCGAGCAAGGACAGCGACGTGCACCACCTGACGACGCCCGTGTCTACCTCAGCGTTCTACTCGGCGGCCGTTGCGGCAGGGAAACTGATCTCACCTCTCGCGAACAGGGGACCACTGCACACGCACCATCTGCACCATTCCGTGCACCACCCCGCGGGCACGTACGCGAGGCCCACCCACCACGACTTCTACCGGAGCTTCTATGGACCAGCCACACACCTGACGGGGGCGGGGGGTGGCAATGCAGGGGACGTGTCACTGCTAGAGACATATTCGAGAACATTTGGTGCAGGGTTGGGCACCGGGGGGAGCCCCGCAGGGGCTCCGGGGGCGGGAATGACGCCGCTGTCATCCGTTTTGTCTAATTTTTTTTTGCGGCGGCAGCAGCAGCGGCGGCGGGAAGCGGCGCTGGGACGCCTTTCGCCCTCAATGGGGGTGTCGGAACGTTAGGGCTTGCGCCGACATCGTCCGGAGGGTCGTCGTCTTCTTCAATTGGATCGGGGACGGCGTCGGAGCAACACGCACCGGACGTCGGCAAGCTACAGCAGGCGCCGCTCAACAAAGCCTGACTCCAGGTACGACCCAGTAAGGGGCCCCCACGGTGAGGATCGGCAACAGAAGAACAGACACAGTCATTGCTCGCCCGACGTTCTCCCTACAACAGGCGGCAAAGTGGTGTCGGGAAGGGATCTGCAGTTTAATAATTGCATCCGAAAACTAATAACGGCTCCTTTCAGCTAAACAGTTCGATTCCCGATTACTACTGGGGAAAAAGTCACATGAAGCTCTTGCTTTAATCTTATATTCTGACAGTTGAAGGTGGCATTTGTATCTTCAATCCGTGATTTCACTGATAGAAGTTACTGCTTTCTACCAACAGGCCCTATGGACATATAGGCCTATAGATCTCATCTTAAACACATTACAGTAATTACTATAAGGATGTAAATTAGAGTTAAAGATATGAGACAATGTCCACAATGAAACAAAAAAAACAAAATATATCGCTTCTACACCGGCCAGAGTAGCTGGAACCATCTTTAATTAATACCCGCGTTTCACCTTCAGATGCCACAAAGCTTTATAGGGACTGCACTCTGACGCCTGTTTCAAGTGAATCGAATTGAAATATTATCTTTCAATACTTGGCTGAATGGGTGCTGAGCTGGGAACACTGACTGTGAACTGTATTGCATTACTTCTGTTAAAGACTGAAAAACAAAATGTCTCTTAAGGATGTTATCAAATTACCTATGCGCTTTTATATTTCACCATGCCAAGCCTCCTAAACTGCAGGAAATGTAAGCAAATAAAATTGTATCATTACATTTATAAATGTGGCCACAGCACAGGAAATTGTTAAAAGACTATAGAGAGGCAAGTGGAAGTGAGGTCAGTGGTAATCTACGCTGCCAACACAACGGAAGATGAAGGTAAACGACACCTACTTGCTATTAGTGAAAAATCAGTGACAGAGAACAAAGAAATAGGCTCCTTCTATAATTGTTATAGGCCTAGCTGTCGGTTTTATTATTAAGATTCTGTGGCAGACAATAACAGACATTTTGTAGGCTACAGGACGTTGTTCGAGGTCTCCTGATTAAAATGGGACTCTGTTGTCATCATCGAAAGATTATAATTATTATTATTATTATTATTATAAAATGGGGTTTTTAAATATTTCACAAAAATATCCACTGCTCCAGAAAATAATTTTATTGCAGTATTACTTATTTCAGAACTGTCTTTTATGTCATGTATATTTTAAAGACTTGCAATACTTTTTTTCAACGCATTTCAAGGGATTTTGTTAATCTTCTTAAACTTGACAGGCATAGGGTTCTAACTTCGATTGATCGATATCATAGCATTCATATGTTTAAATGCTAGTGGTTTTACATGTGGGGTACACTGATGTATTATTATAAACAACTGTTAAAGAATTCCCAAAAACCACGTGTTTCTATGTTCGTTGTAATAATAATTTCCTTTGTAGTTCTGTGTGTGTGAATTTAACTTTGGATGTAGAACGGTGTTTGTTTGGCTACCAGAAAGAGGCACTGATTTTGATTATTTAAATATAAATTATGTTTGCTGTAGATATTCAATTATACTGCAGTCTAATTGCTGTATTTTAGTTCTTCAATAACTAAGACTGAAGAAACTACTTCAGAGCTGTTGATTTCTGTTTGGTTTCAGTACCCTATTCAATTTGGAATCATAAATGTAATAGTTACCTTCCTCTAAAACGTTGCTCTCCACGTACCAGAATACATGGCATGTCAAAAATACTTTCCCTGCTTTACGAAAGCACAGCTACAACTATTGATTATTTTTGTTTAAAACGAAATATTCTCAATTATCTTCAGTTATTTCCTGCTCTGTTGTTCAGAAAAGTATCTTAAACACAATTGTAAAATGCGCAATTAAACTTGATCTTCTGTATCTGTGGTGAATATTTCTACTTTTTAGAACAACCCTTCTGCTGTACATGTTCGTTCTGTATGAAGAATTTAAACAGAATTTTAAGTGACTGTCAGCCATTAATAAGAAATCTCTGTGTCTATCAGCCATTAATAAGAAATCTGTCAGTGAGAAATCTCTGTTTACCTTATCCACATGTTCGAAGCACCGAGACAGAATGCCCAAATACTCCCAGTAAGAACATGCAAAGAAATTAGAATGAATCTTCTCAATAATCTGTCGGTTTAACCGTTACGTAACAACCTCGACCGACTAACTGCCATCCAAAGCACTGTTCCATTAAGCGCTTTTTTGCGTGTGTTCAATAAACGCATATTTTACAACCTCGATTATTCATCCTACATGTTTATATTTAAACGTTTCACCTTCCTGTCTCTTAGAATGTACCTATATTTTGGTGTGATTGCTCCTGAAGAACTTTATCTTTGTATCAGAATTCACCCCCCCCCCCCCCCCCCCCCCATAAGAAATGACACCAACATCACCCACTTTAATGTTGGTCCTAAACTTTTGCTTCTAAATAATACAAAGGCATACTTTAATTTATCCGAATCTTTGTAGTTTTATATCAATTAAACAATAAATTACGATACTGCAATAATAAGGAGCTGTGGATGTTTTTATTGACTGTACAGTATATAAATGTGATAAAACTGAACTCTTTTTCCTCCTCTATTCAGTATTTGTTTCAACTCAGTTTTTTTCCCCCAGTCCCCTTTTCCCATCCCGATGGCAGTACGAAGCCGCCTATGTCTGTTCAGTGAAGGCAAGTTAGTTAACTGACGACTAGCATTGTAATGAAACGTCATGTCCGGCCTGCCAGCCTGAGAAACCTTTCCCTGAACAAAACATTTTGTACTTCGGAATGTGAAGACGGTCTGTAATAATCAAGAAAGCTTAATATAGGTTATTATAAGAACTACAGAAAGATGGAAAAATTAATAAACATTCCTCATAAAAATTTGAGGCCACCATGTAGCCCAATAACCATAAAGGTTAAGATAGTATGTTCCCTGTTGTCAGAATGTGTTATGTTATTTTCAATAGAAATTTAGCTTTAAAAAATTAGCATAACATTTTAATATCTTACGTTACCCTAAAAGGCCCGGAGAATCAGGCAATGGATCGTGTTCTGTTGAAGCGACGTTTAAATTTGATAATAAGAAAATACGCGTAATGGCATTTTCATAGTTTCCCTTAATTTCATTATTCCTGATGGACTTTCAGCATTCAGATTTCCTGCTGTGTCAGATGTTTTCATATGCGCTGAATATCCTGCTTAGAAGATTTACAGACTGAATAAAAATTAATTTTAAAACGTTTACCTTCACGCCCTGGAAATCGTTTCGGAGAAATGTATCGCCTCTATCTTCAATGTAGAAGTGAATGAGGATAGCTATATGATCGACTCCGCCGAACTACTCAACGTCACAGCACCACGTGCTTTTGCCGTGAGAACCTCGTATTCCTGATAACAGCGTTCTCGTATATAGCAAATGAAAACTTTCAGCAAGGCAAAAAATGCCAAAAGAAATGCTTTTGTTTGTAAAATATATTTTTCACTACATATGATCAACAGTGCATGATTTACAAAGCAATTATCAATTTAAAATGGCTGCCTTTTAGCTTGCAGCGCTGTGTAGTCTGGCAGAAGTTCACCGACGTTTCAGATGTGCTTGCAGTCTCCGTCATCGCCCTGATGATGGAAACAACAAGCACTTGTGGCGGACTACA